TTTATTTATTAATGACGTTGGAGCCTGCTTTAAGCATTCCAAGTTTTTGCTATACGCTGATGACCTAAAAATCTTCAGAAGTGTCACTTCTTTGTCAGATGTTTTGCTATTACAAAATGATCTTAACAACTTAACTACTTGGAGCATCAGAAATAACTTACCGCTTAATATTAAAAAATGTCTCCATATGACTCTTTCAAAGAGCATAATTACGCATAAGTCGGCTTATTATCTGTTTGATAAAAGACTTTCTTCAGTTAAGGAATTTTTAGACCTAGGAGTGATGTTTGATTCGGGATTTACCTTCATTAACCACATTAGCTATATCGTTCCTAAAGCCTACTCTAATCTTGCTTTTTTGCGGCGCTATGGTAGAGATTTCAAAGATCCCTACACCCGAAAAATTCTCTATAACTCGCTGGTTCGTTCGAAGCTTGAATACGCCTCTTTAATCTGGAGTCCAATTTACTCAACTCATTCCTCTAGACTTGAAAGAGTGCAACGAAGCTTTATTCGCTTCGCTCTTGAACCACTCCATTTTAGTGATCCCCTACCATCTTATACGGCCCGCTGTGCGCTTATAAATCTGAAATCACTTGAGTCTAGGCGATCTATTCAATCTCTGCTTTTCATATACGATGTTATTAATGGCATAGTAGACTGTCCAGAGCTTCTTCTGCAAATAAATTTCAATGTACCATATAGAAATTTACGCACTCATTACCCGTTTAATATTAAAGTTAATAAAGCTAATTATTACAATTATGACCCCATTTCCAGAGCTCTCATTGAATTTAATAGAATTTCCAAGAGCCTTGATCTGGACTTCGCCTTCCCGAGATCTCGTTTTGGTTTATTACTAGAATCAATGTATTCCTAATTATATACTTTCAATATCGAATTTACACTTAGGTCGTAAGCTTGTACATCTAGTCTGTAAGGTTTGTAAATCATAGACTTAATAAATGAAATGAAATGAAATGAAATGAAATGAAATTACTGACAAGTCAATTTCAAGTCCGTCTCTTCTGGCTGATGTAAGCTTTAATGTTCCCTCACGCGTATCAAGACACTTTTGTCCCATATTTCTGAAAGCTTGTAAAACCAATTTTGAATTGCACGACCCACTCCGTTGCTTATGCCAGGATTTTAACTCTCATTCCAGCACGTTTGATATATCAGATCCGCTTTTCAGCATTAAGAAAGCGATACTCTCTGAATTATTGACATAAATACATAAAATCAGCTGATGAATTTAGTTCTGTAGCTGAACAGTTTTAGATCTCGACACTTAACAAACTCCTGCCTATCGTGACTCGGCACAAAAATTTTAAATATTGGTTCCGTACGTCATGCGGACTGCGCCCCTCGTGCGGATGGGCGGGAATGGAGGGTAAAAACCGTTGGGATTATTATTATTATTATTATTATGACAGCAAAAATGAGAGAGCAACACTCAGTGAGAGTGACTCTCTTCAGTCCGAAATAGTCAGACTTAGTCAGAAGAATTTTTTCTGGCAAAATCTTGAAAAGTGTCAAACTCAACTGAATTTAAATTAACGGAAATTAAAGAATACACAAACTGTGAGAATAATCTAAAAAGTAAAAAAAGTGAAATGAAAGTAGAAGGAGGCAAAAAATAATTGATATAGTAAGTGTTTATTGTGCTAGTGTGTTAGTTTTGTTGGTGCCTTTCTTTGGACTAAAAATTTTTAGACAGGCGCATCACGACAGGTGCTAAGCCGGGGCGTGCACTGCGCGACGCGACGCTGGGTATCCCGCTGTGGTGTTATGCACTTTTAAATCTGTATACTATGTGTTCATAGTATGTAGTATGTTAGAATTGTATCTCGTCAATATATTTTTTTTTTATAGAGCAATAATGTCCATGGCTTTTACTGCGCTTTCGAAAAGGTAACACTATTGTTTATGAACGATAAGAAATAGTATAGTAATAATNCCTGGTAATAATAATAATAATAATAATAATAATAGATTGGCGCTTACACAAATGTTAGTGTTTGGCCGAGCTTCTCCTCCGATTTGTGGTTTGCGCCTTGATGTTGTCACACAAAGCGGAGGGACCTACAGTTTTACGCCGACTCCGAACGTCGATTGTATTTTCATGAGAAGCTGTTTTTCATGTCAGAAATACACTCGGAGGTTTGCCATTGCCTGCCGAGGGACGACCGCTGTTAAGAAAAAACTTCTTCTTTCTAGATTTTTGCAATGTTGCTTTGACCAGGGTTTGAACCCAGGTGCTCTGGAGTTGAAGCGCGCACTGCTTACCACTACACCAAAGCGGCCGACATAGTATCCATTTACGTTATTTCCGATGCTCTTTATTACACGCCACCAGAGTTGAGCACTTTAGTTCTTTTGAGTGAGCCGTTCAATTGTAAATAGTTCGTTCAAGTAAGTGAACTGGTTCTATAGTTCATATAGTTCATTTAGTTCAATTGACGAATACATTTACGTATCGACACCTTTGTGGAAGAACGACCAATCTCAGCAGCCAGTTCAAAAACGACCTATCTCAACATATTTTCAATGTATTGTCAGTTGAGATAGCGCGTTTTTAAAACAAATTTGGAGATAGGACGTTCTTTAAAAGTTTTCTGAGATAGGGCGCCTTTCAATCAAATTCTGAAATAGGTAGGGCGTTCTTCAACAAAATTCTGAAATAGAGCGTTTTTGAAAAGTTTTTTGAGATAGGACGTTTTTGAACCGGCTGCTGAGATCGATCTTCCACTCGTATTACTATCATACATATTACATACAAAACAAAAATTGCTGAAGTCTAGAAAAAAGAAGTTTGTGGATGAGATGTGGTGATCTGCGAAATAGCAGCTATAACTTTTACCGCTTAGACTCTTTTGTTTTTCCATTTTTCCCAACAAACAAATCGTGGTATAAAGCTTTATAATACTATTGAAAAACTTTGGTAGTTTGAATTCACATACATAAAAAACGAGTTCCTATATAAAACAAAAACTTTAACAAATTCATGGAATACAAACAAATTTATGTATGTAAGATATATAAGCACTTACATTTTGCTGTTCAAAAACAGATTGTTTCATTTTAAAAGCCTTCTTCGTAAGGAACTGAAGCGGCAACAATGCAAAAGCTTATTAAAGCGTATCTGTAAAGATGGGTTTTAGGTCATTTTTTCGGGCCAAGAATATTTGGATCGCGATAAGAAGTATGTAGTAGCACTGACAAATTTAGTTCAATGAAAAGACCGAACTATTGCAGTAGTTCATTGATATAAACTAGTTCTTTAGTTCCCCAAGCCTACACATCACCGTAAAGCTTGCATGATTTTTAAAATTTCTGACATTTCACTTTTCAATTGTATATTAATGTCAATGACATTATTTCCACATTTCTTCTGACGGTGACAGGTATCAAGATCAACGGAAATAAGCCCAATTGACTTTATTACCCACCCTGGTGCGAAATAAATTCAGTTGACATTATTACCTTTCAAAAGCGAAATAAAGTCAACAAATATTTGGAAATAAAGTCATTGACGTTATTTCCTCATTCAAATGGAAAAAGCGTCAACAATGCTTAAATTACCTATGGCGATTCATAGAAAAAAATGTAGTTCTTACAATAAACATTGCCTCGTAAGTTTTGTTTTTTAATAGCCGAAAAAGGTTATTGCCAAATCCTCAGTGTGGTGCTATTAATACACACACCAATTGATTTTATTAAAAAATTTAAAATCACGAATATAGTAAAAACACGATGCGGAAAACCAAACGAAAAACACAGCTGGAATACGAGAAATATTTGAAGAAAGAATGTAGAAATGATCCAGAACTTGCAAAACATGTTTCGTTCCCACAAAAATAAAGCGAACACTATTAAATTGTAGAAACAGTCCATGTCCAAAAACCCCTGAGGAACACTGAAGGAATTCTGTGTTTTAAATTAGCATATTTTGAACGAATTCGGAATGTCTAAGGTGGAAAAGAAACCTACCTTTCTATAAGGAAACAATTATAGACAAGGAATTTTCTTACACTGTATTCATGTCTCCGCCAGCAATTTGTGACATCATTTAAAATCAACTAAGGAGAACGACGATAGTATTTATTAGATGGCACATTCAAGCCAATGTGCCAAAATGCGGGTATAAACAATTATTGATTACTTAATATCGGAACCGAGATCTTGTAAGTTAATTGATTGATTTTCACCAAAGAACGTAAATCTATAAGAAAAGACAACAAGTTATAATTGTAGCGAGTGTGAACATCAGGAGCGTGCCTTCTATTTTCATCCAATCTAAAAACGTATTTGGGCAAAAGAGAAGGCACGGTCCTGATATTCACACTCGCTACAATTATAACGTGTTGTCTCTTCTTATAGATTTACGTTCTTTGTTTTCACACACTTTTGAAACACAAATTATATGCTTTTTTACTGCAGACAAGTTGTTGCCAAAACACAGAAAACATTTTCCAATATCTTACAAATATAAAAGTATTATATATCGAGGGCTTAAATTCATTAATATCCACTATCTGCAATTTCCACAAAAACTAATTTGTGATTTTAGAAACCATCTGGGCGTAGCGTGACGTGGTGTGGCGCGCCGGTCGCGTGGGGTACGCGGAGCGCGAGGAAGAGGGCCGCCGCGAAGCTAAGCAAATTGAATGTTTAAAAGAGCAATAATGTCAATGGCCTTTATTTCGCTTTTGAAAAGATAATAATGTCAATTGACTTTATTTCGGACCAGGGTGGGAAATAAAGTTAATTGACCTTATTCCCGTTGATCTTATTACCTGTCACCTTATTTCACTTTTGGCCTATGTATTAATGTCACTGAAAATTGTGTCAGTTTCTAGAGATGCCTTCTCACGCGCCTTGGTGAGGGCTCTTCTGCAAGCAGTTGTCTGTTCGGGTGCCCCCATCTGTGGCACCCTACTAGGAGCTGCTTGCAGAGCATTTTGTTATGGTCTGTGATGGGAAGCATCTGGGCCTCTTCATGAAAGTGGTGTCGAGCCGACATCGGGAGGCATGCTGTCGCGGTCCGGAGTGCCGTGTTCTGCCATGTCTACAGCTTCGTCTATTGTGTCCTGCTAGTCCCCTTCGCCCACACGAGCGCTGCATAGTTTAGAACCGGCCGGCCAATTGTCTTGTATGTTGCCAGAACTATTTATTTGTCTTTGCCCGAGGTGCAGCTTGCGACTTGAGGACCTTGTTGCGGCTCTGTACTCGAGTGACAATTTCGGTAGTATGCGCCGAGAACTTTCGGGTGACCTCCTTCTCCCAGATGGTAAAGAGGGTTGCCGAGTATTTCATAGGGGAAAGGTTAGGCTCCTTGCATTGGGGTACCGAGAAAGTTCGGACAGTCAACCGTTTACTTTCGAACACATGACATCAATTCCATTCCCAGACGCCATTATTGAGCAGTCGTCAGCATAAGAGACAATCGAGACTCTCTGGTGGTTGAGGGAGCTTTGATATATACAGCAGTGGCGAAAGAACATCTTCCTGTGGAACCCGTGTTTAACTTTCCCGGTTTGCAGGTTTTGTCTCTGAAAATTATCGAAGAATATCGACCACTTAGATAATTCTCCGACCATCATAGAGAATGAGCCTCGGGTGACCCCGTTCCATTTCTTTCGACAGGAAGTCGAAGCTTTCAAGAATTGTGGAGTGCCCGTGCACTGGGTTGAAAGTGAACCCAGAGCTTTTCAGCCTAATGGCTGAGCGAACCGCCACTACTTTTCCCGCAATCTCGACAGGTGCGACATTGAGTATAGCGTTTAGCGCTAGAGTAGGAGTGGTCCGGAGCGCCCCGCTGATTCCAACGAGGGCCGCCCTTTGCCCGCGCTCTAGCTTCTTAACATGAGTGGTCTTTTCCAGTGAACTCCACCAGACCCATATAACATTATTGGCTTAATAATGGTTTCATATAGCCAGTGCATCACTTTTGGGGAGAGGCCCCATCTCTTCCCTATGGCATTCT